CGTGCCCGCTGTAGTCGACGACGACGACGACCACTGCGTATGCCCAACGGGGGTGGGCGGGTGCTGAGTAGGCCCGCTGTAGTCAACGACGACGACGACGACAGCGACGACGACGACGACAACGACGGCGACAACGAGGACTAGGATGAGGACGACGACGAGGAAGAGGACGAAGACGACGACGACGGCGGACAACGACAGCGACGACGACGACGACGGCGACGGCGACGACGACAACGACGACTGCGACGACGTTCTGCGACGCACTGCGGGTGCCCTATGGTTGGGGGGCGTGTTCTGCGTACGCATCTGCGTACGCACGCTGCAGTCGACGACGGCTGCCCACTGCAGATGCCCAATGGTGGGGGCGCTGCGTTGGCCCGCTATAGTCGTCGGCGACAACGACGTCGGCGACAAGGACGAGGACGAGGGCAAGGACGAGGACGAAGACGGCGGACGGACGACGACGGACGGCGACGAGACGACGACGACGCACTGCGGCGGATGCCCCAGGAGGGGGGTGTTGCGTAGGCTCGCCATACGCATTCGACGACGACGACGACAACGCACTGCGGATGCCCTGTGGTGGCGGCAGGGTGTGCTGCGCAGGCCCGCTGTAGTCGACGACGACCTGCGGATGCCCACGGGGGGGTGTTGCGCTGCGTTGGGCCGCTGTACTCGACGACGACGACGACGACGACGACGACGACGACGACGACGCAACGAAGCACTACGGATGCCCAGCCCTATGGGGGAGGGGTGCTGCGTAGGGCCGTACGCCCTAGGCGGCGATGACAACGACGGCGACGACGTCGGCGACCGACGACGAAGACGACTACGACGACCGACGACCGACGACGACGACGCACTGCGACGCACTGCGGATGCCCTATGGGGAGGAGGGGTGGTGGTGCTGCGCAGGCCCGCCGTAGTCGACGGCGACGACGACGCACTGCGGATGCCCTGGGGGGGGGGGCGGTGCTGCGCACGCCCGCTGTAGTCGACGACGACGACGCAACGACGCATTGCGGATGCCCTATGGGGGGTTAGGGGTTGCGTAGGGCCGCCTACGCCCTGGGCGACGACGCCGACGACGACGACGGTTACGACGACGACGATAACGGCAACGACCTCGACGACGACGCATTGCTGCGGATGCGGATGCCATGGTTGGGAGGTGGTGCTGCATAGGCCCCGTTGTAGTCGACGACGACGGCGCACCTCCCTCGGATGCCCAATGTGGGGGGGTGCTGCGTAGGCCCGCTGTAGTCGACGACGACGGCGACGACGACTCAACGATGCACTGCGGATGCCCTAAAAGGGGGGTGCTGCGTAGGGCCGCCGTACGCCCTTGGCGGCGACGACGACGACGACAACGACGACGACGTCGGCGGCGACGCCGGAAGACGACGACGACGATGACGACGACGATGCATTGCAACGCATTGCGGATGCCCTATGGGTTGGGGGTTGCGCAAGCCCGTTGTTTTCGCCGACGACGACGACGCACTGCGGATGCCCTTGGGGGGTTTGCTGGCCCGCTGCAGTCAACGACGACGCAACGACGTTCTGCGGATGCCCTGTGGGGGGGGTGGTTGCGAAGGGCCGCCGTACGCCCTGGGCGACGACGACAATAACGACGACGACGACGACGGCGACGGCGGCGGCAGAAACAATGCTGTGGGAGGCAGGGGATTCAAACATCAGTTTTGGCGGCTGGATTTTTTTTTAGTCTGCCCAACCCAATTACTTTGGGGGCCCCGGGGGGGGGGGGGGGGGGGGGGGGGGCATTTTTGAACCGTTTGATCCCATTACTCACTGCAGACAAATTCAGTGCACAGGGCCCTCTTTGAAAGGCAAGCACCCCACGGACTCTGCCATTCAGGCGAGATCCCCGACTTAAAAAATTAGCATAGTGACGGGTCAGACAGGCCAAGAAAGGTGTCCGATGCCTCTCTTTTCCGTGTTCACAGGGGGCAAACCCAAACTTCTGGTATTAACACGTTGGGGGAATTTCTCAGCGAGAGGCCACTTGCGAAAATGATCCGCTCTCCATGCTTGTGGATATTGCTGAACGTTCTGCGTATGAGAAAGTGAGCCTGTCAAGCGCGAGGCCCACCTCGAAGAGCAACCGCCCCCAGCCCGTGCAGTTGCAGTCCTTGTGCCAGGCGATTGTGCGAGCGGCAAAGCCACCCTCTGACGACGGACCTCCAGCGGCGAGGCTGTCGGAAGATTCGAGGACTGCTTGTGGATGTTGCTGAACGCTCTGCATCTGAGAATGGAGTTTGTGAGGCGAGAGGCCCACCTCGAAGAGCAAAACCCGCCCCCAACCCATGCAGCTGCAGTCCTCTTGCCAGGTGACTGTGCGAGCGGCGAGCCACCCTCTGACGACGGATCTCCCTCCGTAGACGCGCTCACGGCAATGCACGTTGCGGCAATGTAGGATTCGGCATTGCAGTTGGGACTGATCCGTGGCCAAAACCAATTGTAGGACAATCGTGGTTCGCGCGTTCCTACAATTCCGGCGTCGTTGTCGCCCGACATGTGCGCACATCTGAGATGTAGGACAGCGTGGCTCATGATTTCCCACAATTTGTTCTGCGCGAGCTCGGTGTCGCAAACATCAGATTCCCAACATCGCCGTCAACCAGCATGGCCGTGAGCGCGGCCCTGGTCCCTCCATCCGCGGGGCTGCCGGGAGACTCGAAGGCCCGCGTGCGCGGCGCCAGGGCGGACGCCACGGCCTGAAGACGGGCCCTTTCGCCCTCCACATCCGTGCAGCTCCCGGGGCGCTCTCGGGGCGACTGTGCGCGCCGCTGCGGCCACGGCGGCGTCTTGGAGGAGGGGCCGCCCTGCATCCGCGCAGCCGTTCCACCAAAAGAGGCTCGGGCCTATGGCGAGGAGGCCTCGGGCCAAGCTGTCGTTCCGTCCTGCCGACTCGTCGGATGGTGCGGCACGGTGCACGGAGGAGGTGTGTAGAAGGAAGGGGCATTGAGATCAGAGAGGGGAGCAAGGAGGCGGATCGGAAGTTGCGCCTGCGTGGAACCACGGGGTGACAGGGCGAAAGCGACAAGAGGAGGAGGAGGAGGAGGAGGAGGAGGAGGAGGAGAGGAGGAGGAGGAGGAGGAGGAGGAGGAGGAGGAGGAGGAGGAGGAGGAGGAGGAGGAGGAGGAGGAGGAGGAGGAGGAGGAGGAGCGGAGGAGGAGGAGGAGGAGGAGGAGGAGGAGGAGGAGCAGGAGAGGCGTCTGTCTCTTCGGGGAAGGGCCGGGGCTGGCTGGGGCCGGATCGGGGGCCAGAGCCGGGGCCTTGGCCTGGGCCAGGGCCGAGGCCGGGGCTGGGGCCAGGGCTGGGCCCGGGGGCGGGGGCTGGGACGTAGCTGGAGCGCATTTCTTCATATACTCGGAGTCTCTCATATAGCCCCCGAGTGTTCATTCATCGCGTTCAGCTCTGAGTGCTCGCTGCTTCTCGGCTGTCCTGCGCGCTCATAGCCTAGCTGAGGCAAGAGGTCAATGAAAAGGGCGGGAAGCTCAACATCGCGGTCAGCTTCCGCGATGTCGCAGACTTGGGGATACCCCCTTCAGCGATGCGCGGTCGCATGGAGTACGAGAAGTCCTCCCAAGAGTGGTTCGAGCGCATGAAGACGACTTTTACCTGCATGGACTGCCGAGGCGTTCAGAATTAATTGATACGTTAACGAACGCTTGTGCCAACGATTTGTCATTTCGGAGTGGCCCTCCTCGTGCTACGAGCTAGGAGGGAGGGCAGAAGGGGTGGAAGAAGGGACCCTCGCACCCAGTCGTTGTGAACCATATGGGTGGTTTGTCCAAACCATCCTGTCGTGTTGGGTCCTCGTTTTGAAGAGACAGCGCCCCGCGTTCCTTCTCCTTCTTTCCTCCTCCCTCCTCCCTCCTCCCTCCTCTGCAGTTCGCATGCGTCTCCCCCGCCCAGCACAGCGTTTCGTGGCCCCGGGGGGGGGCTCCAACGATGGTCCCAGTCGCGCAGTCCGCATGCGGTTCCCCCAGTACAGCGTGCCGTGGCCCCAGAGGGAGCTCCACCGAAGGTCCCAGTGGCGCAGTTCGCATGCAGTCCCCTCACTCAGTACAACGTTTCGTGGCCCCAGAGGGAGCTCCACCGAAGGTCCCAGTGGCGCAGTTCGCATGCGATTCCCCACCCAGCACAGCGTTTCGTTCTCCATAGGGAGCCGCACCGAAGGTTCCAGCGGCGCAGTCCGCATGCGGTTCCCCCACCCAGTACAGCGTGCCGTGGCCCCAGAGGGAGCTCCACCGAAGGTCCCAGTGGCGCAGTTCGCATGCAGTCCCCTCACCCAGTACAACGTTTCGTGGCCTCATAGGAAGCTCTACCGAAGGTCCCAGTGGCGCAGTCCGGCAGTCCGCATGCGGTTCCCCCACCCAGTGCAGCGCGCCGTGCCCCATAGGGAGCTCCAGCGAAGGTCTAGTGGCGCAGTCGGCATGCGTTTCCCCCATGCAGTGGCCCCAGAGGGAGCTTCACCGAAGGTCCCAGCGGCGGTCGCATGCGGTTCCCCCGCCCAGTACAGCGCTTCTTGGCCCCATAGGAAGCTCAATCGAATGTCCCACTGGCGGAACTCGCATGCGGTTCCCCCGCCCAGTACAATGTTTCGTGGCCCCAGAGGGAGCTCCACCGAATGTCCTATTGGTGGAACTCGCATGCGACTCCCCCCGTCTAGTACAGGATTTCATGGTCCCAGAGGGAGCTCCACGGAAGACGATACCCTCATTTGCGGTATTCACACCTGCAGATGGTTGGGCTCTTCGCCAGGCTGATTTGATTCGCTTCGGCCTTCCCGAGTTTTATGAGTCGATTGGGCCAGGGATATCACCGATGAACGTTAGGAGCTCGTAGCTGCGATTGTTTAATTGTCAGCAACGCTGTAGTGTTTCCACGACGCGGGATGTCAGGGGAGGACGAGGGGGGGGGCTACAGAGGGAGCTGTAGGGACGGAGCCGAGGGATCGAAGCACAGGGGATGGACCAGAGGGGAAGGGGTAAGCTAGGTGCGCTCGCGCCATATCCCACTGCGCTAATATCTGCTCGATCCGTGTGCGCATGGCATAGCGGACCTGGGATTCCCCAAGAGGACCCCTTGGCTTTATGCGCAGTTGGAAAAAGGGCAGCTGCGCACACAGGAGCGGGAGGAGGAGGCGGAGGAGCAGGAGGAGGAGCAGGAGCAACATGAAGAGGAATGAGCGGGAGGAGCAGGAGGGCAGGGAGGGCGGAGGAGGAGGGGCAGATGCGCACATAGGAGGAGGAGGAGGAGGAGGAGGAGGAGGAGGAGCAACAGGAAGAGGAAGGAGCGGGAGGAGCAGGAGGACGGGGAGGGCGGAGGAGGGGAAAGCAATGATTCGGATCACGAAAAATAGCCCGCGATGTGGCGAGAGCGCCATCCTTGACGATGGGAGCAGCGCCCCGATCCCAAGATGCGGCCCGCGCTGCAGCGGGAGCACTATTCTGGAAGGACCGAGAACGCTCGGACCGAAATCACATAAAATCGCTCGGCGGCATCCTGTGTGCCAAAGAAACGATACGCGGGAGGGGGGGGGACGGGATCGCGCTGCTCCCTGGCCATCTCCGGGGCAGAGGGGGAGAGCAGTACTCGCAGACTGAGCACTTGCAGGGGCCCCCCAGGCCTCCGACGGCCCGACTGTTCCGGGCCGGCGGCCCCCGTGAGTTCTCGACACGTGTGTTGGGGGTCCAGCCATCCCTGGCGTGCAGCCTGGCGCTGGGCTCTTCTGTTGGCCGGCGCCCATGCTCACGCGCCGCTTGATGCATGGTTTGCCAGTCAGTCAGGTCGTGGCCTGGAGCGGGGCTCCCTGAAATCTGTGCAAAGCCTCTAGCGCGAACTTCGCCGTGTCGCCAGGTATCTGGGCATGGGGAAGCCATCTCGGCTGCGACCCAATCCCTCCGCCTACTCTTCGTCCTCTTTCTGCCGCCTCGCCTCGTCCCTCTCCTCATGTGTCGCCTCCCCTTGTGCTCCCCTGCTCGTCGTAGATCCTCCTGGCTCATCTTCGCTCGTCACAGCTTCTACTCGCTGTGGTTTTGTTGCGCCGCGCTCCTCCTGCTTCTTTCGGGGGTGGACAGAACCCCCCACTGTGACACGTCGATTAGTGAATTGTCCGTTTTCGGTTCTCGAGAGGGCGCCGCGGCCGTTATTTTCCAGGCTTGCGCCCGCCAGGTTTGGGCCCGAGGTCGTTTTCACTAAACCACGTTTCACTAAAGGGAGGTCTGTCCATCCCCGATTCTTCCCCTCCCTCTCCAGTCCTCGCCTGCTCCTCCCGCGGGGGTGTCCTGAGATCCCCGTCCCGACGCGCGGAAGCCTCAGCAACATTCTGGCTTCAACCATCGAACCTCATCCATTCGAGTACTCCAGATTTCGTAATAAAGGGAGGGGGGTCTCATTTCGGGGGGGGGGGTCTCTTCCAGGCTATCTTGGAGGGCCTGGGGGTCTGGGGACGATGTTTTGGAGGGTTCTCCCATGGGGGAGGTCTGAAATGGCCTGTCTTGGAGGGTCCAGACCCCCTCCCTTTTATTACGAAATCTGGAGGAGGGTGCCGACTTCAAAAATGATCTACCCCAGAGTCGATGTTCCCTCGAAGTCATTAGCGATACGAAGAGTCGTCGTAGGTACTCGATGCATCTGTAGCAAGCCCGACGAATTCCAATGCCGCGTTTCATATAGTATGCAGTCGATCCCCTAGTCGATCCCTACCCCTCATGCCACTCTTGGGCCCGACCACGCTCCCTCCCTTTGTCCTCTCCAACGCGGCGCCTCGATCCTGCGCACCGCGGGCGCATAGGCGCCACGGACGCGGCTCGGCTCCAGCAGAACACATCTGCGGCCCTCTGCCGAGGAGCATCGAGATTCGACGAAGACTTGGCATCGCTCGGACGTGTGCATTTTTCCTTCGGCGAGGACCATCGAGGAGCATCCTTGATCTTTTGGCGAAAAAGCCACGCACGACACCGACAAAAAACACAGGGAATGGACGTCCGAGCGATGGCCAGAAGAAAGATCGAAGTTTCTGAGCGTTTCCGTTGAATGTCTTATGTTTAGACGGAAGATCGGTACGATCGAAATGGTTACGTAAGTACATATCGGTTGCGAAGAACGATTGCATGGCTTGTTCCGTCTGTGACCGGGGTTCGCTGTCCATGCCTCCGCGGGCGTTGTTCATTTGAGGCGGAAGGCCGCCTGCCCAACAGCGGCCGCTGTCGATTTTGGACAACATCTGTTGTTGGGCATCGTATCCATCTTTTCCGTACCCATGTCGGGCGTCCAAAATTGATTAGGAGTCCTTCAGAGACCGCTCAGGACTCCGTCAACACGTTCCTCAAGGCGAGCCAGCCGGACACTGGGCTGATGTACCTCGACGGCGACAGCGAGGGTGCCATGCAGCAGCATGGTGCGGTCCGACCGCACGGGCTCCTTTTGGCCGACGACGGGGTTCCTGCGCTTGCGGGCTGAAGCGGCGTCGGATGATTACTTCCTGGGCTGACGGTGAATGAACTCCACTTGGCTGAATTCTCTTTGTTCGAGGGACAAAAAACGGCATAAGCATAAACTTGCGGAGTTCCGCCGGATTTCTCGGATCTGCGCTGCCCCCCCCCCCTTGGCGGCGCTTCCGGCGCCGTCCCTGGCAAGCTCCGCGCGCCAGGGATGGGCTCCAGCGCAGATCCAAGAAATCAGCGTCTTGACCGTATGTACATGTTTATGCAGCTCGTTGATCATCTGTTCGCGGGCTCCCGTGCACGCAGCCGCCTGCAGCTGCGACTCCCTCGAACGAGCACGGCGCAGGTCGTAACGGGTGGAGAAACTTTCGCCCCGACCATGCGTCGAATTCGGCCCTCCTGCTTGAGGCACCTGAAGGCGTGCGCAGTGTGTCCGCGAGCGGCCAAATAGGAGCTTGTGGGAAGATTCAAGTCGGACATGTCCCTCTACAGGAGGGATACTCAAAAAAAGTCGAGAAGTAGCCTAGGACGTTTTTTTTTGTTTTTGAATAATGTTCGATAATGTTTGAATGCTTTTGGGGTATTTTTCTTTTTATCCAAAATCCGCCTGTAGGGGGACATGCCCGACCTAAGGGAAGATGGACGAAGATGCTCAGGGCCCGCGTGAAGGAAGCAAGCAAAGAGGGTGCAGACACAGCTGCGCGCTGACTGTGTCTGGAGGAGGAGCAGAGCTCGCAGCAGCTTGGAGAGCAGGGCTGGATGAGGGAGAAGAGGAGGAGGAGGAGGAGGAGGAGGAGGGCCAGAAGTGCGAGGATGAGGAACAATGTCATGATGAGTAGAAGGAGGACGAGGAGGAGCAGCAGCAGCAGCACCATGTGGAGGAGCAGCAGCAGGATCAGGATGACGAGGAGTACACGTACGAGGCGGAGGGAGAGGAGGAAATGGGAGAGGTAGTTTTGAGGAACACTCTGACTCCGAAGCCAGAGCAGGACTGGTAATAGGAAGGAGGATGAGTCAGGGGAAACAATCACGAACGTAGGGCGGCAATGGCCTCTCCCTCCCCCCCTCCTGAATCGTGTGCTGCTGTTGTAATTCCTACTCCTCCTTACCCTCCTCGTCGTCGTTGTCATCATATCCTCTTTCCCCTCATCCGCACCCTCTCCCACTCAGTCTGTTCACCGACCTAATCGTCATCCTCTTCCTGCTCCCACCGTGACTCCTGGTTTTCATGTTACTCATCAGGCCAATCTCCCTTTCCTCCTTCCCCCGCCCCTCCGCCTCATCCCGCCCTCTCTTCACCCTCCGGCTTCCCTTCTCCTCCTGGATTTTTCTTGCACTGTCGACTCTGATGACACTGGAAGTCAGTAACAAACGCGGGGCCTTCTGCTCCTGGAACCCATGCCCCTGAAACTATTTTCGTCCCCCTCCCCTTGTCCTCCTCCTCATCCCCGGTCCTCCTCCTCCACATCTCTTGTCCCTCATCCCACTCCTCCCCGATCGCTCTACTGCCCCCTCCCCGATCTCTAGTTCCGTGGGCTCTGGAATCGGGAACCCGGGAACCGGGCCGCCCACAGATATCGGCCCAGAACCCTGAGCAGGGAACTTGGGAACCCGCTCGCCCACCGAAGTCGACCCCTCCCCCGTGCTGAAAGCAAAAGCCTGGGAATTGGGCCGCCTACCGAAGACGGCTTAGATTTTTCGCCTAGTCCTTTGGATTACACGCTACACCGCATTCACATCTATACCCCTGGGTGGGTGTATGTGCGGCCGTTTTTGCGCTGTCATGTGCGCGCATGTGCGCGGCATGTGCCAGTCATGTGCCAGGCCTGTGCGGCCCTTCGTGGATGGACTTCCTACTGTGCACGTCGTGCCCGGGCATGTGCGGGGGCATGTGCGCTGTGTTTTGGTGAATCCATCATACGCACATGCACGCACAATCCGACGCACATGCGCGCACATGCCTGCACATGCGGGAGGTGTTCGAGAATCGCAGATCTGTCATCGGCACATGCACGCACATGCCTGTGCAACCTCTCTTCGGGAGGCCGCGCGGGCCCGCACATGCACGCACATGTGGTGAAGCGCGCGGGCGCACATGCGTGCACATCCCAACGCACATGCACGCTCATGCCCGAGGAGCTGTCTGAGACCCCTTGTGCCTCCAACGCCTCCTGGCCTTCGCAGAGACATGGTGGTCAGGCCCCATGGTGGTCAGGCCATTTTCGCCTGAGACATCCTCACAACTCAGACCTCGGAGGCGTCCTGCCCCATGGTAGTCTGGTCACCTTGACCAGCGACATCCTCGCCACTCTGGTTTCCAAGATGCCCTGCCCCATGGTGGTCCGGCCACGCTTGCCTGAGACATCCTCGCATTTCTGGGTTGCGAAATGCCCCGAGCTCAGGTGGTCAGGCCACTATCGCCTGCGACATCTCTGTGGCCTGTGCGGGCATGTGCGTCTATGCTTTCAGAGTTTTGCTTGACCATGCATTCGACTGTGCGTCGGACGGTGTGGCATGTGCGCGCATGTGCGGCAATGTTGTTGAGGCTTTTGTATATTTGCATGGGCATGTGCATGCGACTGTGCGGCATGTGCCTGCATGTGCGGCCCCTTCCGGACCACAATTTCAAAGTGAGCACTATAGAAGTGAGCGCTATAGAAGTGGGTCCGGTGTAGCACCTGTCAGTACAAGCATCAATTCGGGAATAGAAAGCGAAACCGAGACAGATAAAGAGAGGGGAGATAAATAGAGAAAGGAAGAGAGAGAGAGAGGGAGAGACAGAGAGTGAGAGTGAGAGCGAATGTCAAATTAGCCAGGTCAATCGCGTCTGGGGTCCCCACCTATTCCATTGTTTCGCAACTTGGTATTTGGATTGGGGCGCGCCCCCACCCCGCAAACGGAAGGCGCTCACGCACGCTTCCGACGATGTGGAGACGGGGAAACTACGTGAGCCGCGCAGGTGCGGGATGGGCAAACCTTCTGTTGGGCGAGGCGAAGACGAAGCACGCGCGCGCGCTGACACATTACTGTCACCTTTATTCACAAGCTGCGCAGCGCTTGGGCGAGCTCGGCCTTTCGCCCGCTTTTGCGCGGCCCCGCTGCCGCTGTCGCTTTCATGCGGTTCGGCGTGCGAGCCATGCGCCGCGCCCGCGCAGGAATGCCACATCCGAGCGAAATGCGCAGAGCTTGAGCGAAGGCGACAAGTCGCCCACTTGCTCGGGCCGCCCGACAAACAGCGAGTGAAACATATGCGCCGCCGCGTCGAGGTGGACGCGCCACTTCCAGGCGAAAGCTGGGGCGCACATATTGCGTATACAGGGTGGGGTGAGAAAGGGAGAGGGTGACACGTACGTGGATATAGCGAGGGAGAGAGGTATTAGTTTTTTTTTTTTTGGCATCTGATAGTTAAGCAAGGGAGGGGATAGTTGCTATGCTCGGTGAGAGGAGGGCGGAATAAGGATATAAACGAGGAGCCAGGAGAGAGGAGGAAACGGGAAGGGACATCGAACGCCGCGCCCTGAGAAATCTTGCGCTGTTCATCGTCGCGCCCCTCCCCATTATTGTGTGCCCGCCTGGTGTTTCTTCAAAGCGCTGAGGGGTGGCCCATCGTTGTTTCAGCGCCCCCTGGATCTGATCATGCTCTTTGAAGTGGTCCCCCGTGTCGTCCTGCCAGGGCAATTCCTTTCTCACCTCCCTTTGCCTTCCCCCCCGCACACTTGTTTCCACCCGCCCTCCCCCCCTCCAAAATAACCTAATGCTTTGGTCCTCTCTCCTTTCCCTGTCTCCGTGCCCTCCCGCCCCACCCGTCGGGTGGTGAGGCTCGACAGATTGCGGGGGCCTCTTAGCGAACTTACCGTCAAGCGCGCGCCGAGCGCCCCGTCCGCCCCTGCCCAGCCCAGCAGGAACGAGGCGCGCCCGCGGCTTGAGGGGCGCACCTGTTTTGCGGCGGAAGACGTGACAGAGAAGACGAAGAACAATCAACCATGGGGGAAGTCCCGCTTGGGGATTGGGGAAACCGCTCAGCCAACCGTCCACGGGAGGATTCAAGGTCGAAGAAGCATGGGTAAGGTGGACAAGGGTATTGTGCGTAACTGGCGTGCCTTTGGTAGGACCAGTTTGATATACAGAGATCGCATAACGACGCGGAATGCAAGAACTGCGATAGCTGCAACTTCGCGTGGGCCAGTCGGGGGCGGGGGGGCGTTCGATCTGAGTTACCACGCATCCACCACAAGCAAGTCAGCAGTGCCTGCCCGTTGGTGCGCTCCTGGCGGACAAGTTCCATTATATAAAAGAGAGCGACAGCATGGATAATATCTCCTTGCTCCAGCATGCCGGTCATGTTGTCGGTGCCTGAGCCAACGCCACCGCGCTACTCATCCCAAGTCGACGGTGCACGTTACGCACGGGCTGCCAACACAATGTGAAAGAACAGAAAGCGATGCTGGATTAGCTAGCAGACATCAGAGAAACAATGCGACATATGTCACAACAGGGGGCTGAGGAGTGCGCTACAGGCAGTGCGCATTACCTTGCCCAAGGAGGAGCTGACACAGACCAGCGCAATGAAGTTGTCCGAGGTCTGCCGCCCGAAAGGTTGAAACCCAAGTACGAAACGGACAAGCGCCACTACCAGAGAGCGAAGAGAGCCGCACAAAAGGTCCAGCAGACGCTGGAGGCGGCTCAGGGTGTTACCGCCGCAAGGAAGGAGGCGGCTGAGAACCTCCGCAAGGACCGCGAGCGTGCAGGCGAAAGAAGTGCGAGCGGGAGCCGTGCCATCATAATCAGAGACAACACCGCCAACAAAAGCAGCTGAAGCTACAGTCAGGGGAATTCGGCTTCGCCAACCGAAGAGGCGTGGGCGCGCACATTGAGCAGGAAACCCACGCCCGAGAGCGCGCGGCGCAAACCAGACCAGCAGGGGCGGCTCCAGCAACGCCGACATGTCTGAAGACGGACAAGCAAGGAACGCAACGCGACAGTGAAATTTCAGGTTCCAGACTGCGAGATGGTGGG